TGCTGCAAGAAGGGACACGGGCGTCAGTGTCGTGGGGACGCCTCCCAGTCACCCCAAGAACCAGCTCCCTGTCTTCACCTAAAAGGGTCTGCGCTCACCCGGGGAGAGGAGCGGCCGCGGGGGCACAGGAACGTCTCCAGAGGCTGGGAAGGCTCGTCTCTGCCAAGTAAGCAGCCAAGTCCGAACCCGGGAATGACCAGCCTCTTCCTGAGCCACCCGGACCACGTCACCGGCTGCTGCGTGTCCACAGCCCGCACCCCAGCCACCAGCCCAGCCGGTCTCTGTGGCTTCACAGAAGTGCACACTTTGTGCCCTCTCCCCCGAAATTCCACAAGTGCAGCTTTTCCCTGAACTCACTGAGAATGGCTCACGGTAAGAGACCCGCCCGTTGCAATGCGGGCACCGGGCAGCTGTGACCACCAACCACCCCCACCCCCGCCAAAGCAGGGAGCTACGCCAGGCACAGGCTGGAGCACGGGGTCTGTGCAGGCCCGACCGCGGCGAGGGCCCGCGAGGAAGGGTCAGCGGGCCAGGGTGGAACCACACGCACGTTAAGTCGGACTCTTTACGGAAGAGTCCGGGCTCTGCGAGGATGCGCACAACCTGGTGAGCCGCGTCTGGGTTCTATTTGAACTTCAGCTTCCTTCCTTGCTGGACATTATTACATCTGGCACTCTCACGTTTTCCCACTCATAAGCCCCCCGGAGTGTGCTCGGTCACTGCCAGGAATAGGAGCGCCAGCTGGAATCCGAGGCGCTCACTTGGCGCCCCTGCCTCTGCTCTACGAGACCCAATACTTAGACACGAGACAGTCTGTGGCCTCATACAGAAATTAGCCTGGGGAGAGGGAAGGCTTCACGCCGAGAGGAAGCGGAGCAGTGGGGAGGGGGGTGGAAGGCGGCGCTGGAACCCCACAGACAAGAGGCTGTGGTGCACGGGGCTCACCAGGATGGTGCCTGCACGCACCGGGCTCCTGTGCTGGGTGAGCCTTCCTCACCGCCCTCGGGGCTGCACGCCGGAGGAGGAAGCAGGGGTCTGAATCCTCTCCTGGGACGTCTGGCCCTGAGGGCCAGACAGCACGCGCTCACCTGGGCCTCCTGTATTTGCGCTCCCAGCACCCAGCAGTGTTGATGGGGTGCAGTGACCCTGTGACCTGAATCAAAATGTCAGAACGAAGAGACCGAATGGGGCGGTTCCTCTACCACGCGTACGTGCCTTTGGTTCCTGGGCCTTCCCAGGGCACTCTGGGAAACGTTGTTTTAAGTTTATTTATTTATTTTAAGAGAGAGACAGAGAGAGAGAGCACATGAGCCAGGGGAAGGGCAGAGAGAGAGAGTCCTAAACAGGCTCCGTGCTATCAGTGCAGAGCCCAATGTGGGGCTTGATCCCACAAACTGTGAGATCACAATCTGAGCCAAAATCCAGAGTCAGACGCTTAACCCACTGAGCTACCCAGGCGCCCCCGAGAAAATTATTTTTTTACCAAAAGTAACTCTGTGGTCTGGACCAGAGTGAGACACGCCAGCACGAACCGGTGTCCGCTCAAGGTCCGGATACCGACAGACAGGTGCAGAAACCCGAGAGCCGTCTGTACACACAGGTCGTTTGCACACGTGGCTCCGACTGTCGGCCGAGAGGCCCAGAGTGACAAGGAGCACGCCAGCCCCAGAACGTGGCTCCCAGGACCATCCTCCAGGGAAGGAGCCGGGGCTCCCGGAGAAACGGCTGGGCCCGGGCCCGGGGCAGGAGACGCCAGGAAGGAAGGAAGTGCCCACCAGCAAGTGCACTGAGGGGAGGCCGCCAGAGGAACACAGGAGGAGCCAGAGGTGAGCTCCCAAGGGGCAGAGGTGCCCACATGAGAGCAAAGTAGGGCCTAGAGTATAACCTGGAGTGTGAAACATGTGGAAACACACCCATCCCAAGTCAGACAAACGGATAAAAGACAAATCCCCAAAGCAGAATTCCAAAAACACACCCAGACTCCCCACGCCCCCATCCAGGAGGAGGACAGCCCCACCCCCACCCCGGGGTGGACAAGCTCGGTGACTCAGTGTGCAAAGGGAAAAGACACTTTTACAGAGAACAAACCTCCGAGTCTGCACCCTGCCTGTGACATGCCCCCAAAATGTGCACGCTGAGCGTCTGGGCGTTGGGGCCTCTAGGTTCACATCAGGTCGTGGGGGTGGGGCCCCTATCATGGGGTTAGTGCCCTACAAAGACAGACACCAGAGAGCACTCTGGGCCCATGTGGGGTCCGAAGTCAGGAAGAGGCCCCACGGACCAGACCCTGTGACCTTGCCCCACCCTGACTCCAGCCCCTGGCCAGCTGACGACCACACCCCAGGCGTTCCACTTCCGCTGGTGCACTTGGATGCCAGGTTACACGCACCTCTTAACTAAGCACAGAAGAGCAGTGGGGAGGCCACCACTGGCCGGGAGAAGCCCCCGTGGCGCCCCCAGCCAGATGCCGGACACCGTGCCCTGGGTGGGGGAGACAGGACGCTGTGCCCTGGGCAGGGAAGGGCATCTGCTCTTGGCCCAGGTTAACCTCTGGCGAGCTAAGTACACACAAACGCAAACGGCTCATGACGACAACTGGAGAAACACCCTGAATGGTCTCAGCCGGCCTAGACTTGATCTTCTGTTTAAATTCCAAATAAAACGCGGGGAAGTGCGAGGCCTCCTCC